GCCGGTGTCTGCAGGCCGGTGTCTGCAGGCCGGTGTCTGCAGGCCGGTGCGGGGCTGGGCCTCCACTCACCCTGGATGCTCAGCATCTGGCCCAGCTTCAGTGCAGCCCCGCGCACCTTACACAGCGTGCTCACAATACGCTCTGCATTCGCCTCTGACAGGAAGGGGCTAGAATCCAGCACGGCCTTCTTCCCTGAGGGGCAGGAGAGGCCAGCATACATTCAGGGCTTAGGAAGGGTGTCTGGGAGAAACCATGATGCCTGGGCACACTGAGACAACATACACAACTGTAGGTGTCCACAGAAACGGCAAGGAAATTCTAAGTCCCTATGTACATCTTCCGGACCCTCCAAGGCCAGGAAGGCCTCCCCTACTGGTGGGTAAGTGTGGCAGGAGAGCCAGGGGACAACAGCCAAGCCTTTCCCCTATCTGTCCTGGCTGAAGGGCCTGTGGGGCACCAAGGGACTGTGCACTTGCCACATGGGTCCTAGCTGCAGTAAGAACTCCATCCTCAAGGGTCAAGGACAGCATAGTCTGGGCATCACTTCTCCCCTCTGCCCCACAGCTTGGCACAGCCAGCTGGCTCATAAACAACCCCTTCCAGTACACAGGGTGGTGGCAGCTGCTGGGTGATGACTCCAGGGAGCTGACAGTGCCAAATGAATCCTGCTGCCAGCATCAGTGTAGCCAAAGAGCATCATTGCTTCTGTCCACATACCAAATTACCCTGTGACAAGGTAGGAAAAGGTCCAAACAGGGGTCTAAGCTACCAGGTCCCTCTGTCCTCTCTCCCTGGCCAGCCCTGCAACATTCAGGGCTTTTGCTACCTTCTTCAGCATATAGCCACAGGCCTGGAAGGTCAGGGGCAGAGTGCTCAACAACTGCCCTTGTCCCAGGTGCAGCCCAGCCTGCCTTTGACAAGTCAGAGCAGCACTTCCATGGGAAGGAGAGGGTACAGAGCCCTCATTGGTTGGCTCTGGTGATAGACATGGTGAGGGCTTGGGCTCACTCCTTGGTGGAGACAGGAGGACAAGATATGAGGGTAGGAGGGTTCACTCCACACAGGTCTGAGCTGCCCCAAGGCCTACCTACAACCCTGGGGTATGACTAATCAGGGTAAGTGAGCCTACAAGGGACACTGGCAACAGCAGAAGGCAGAGCCAAGAGTGGGCAGCTCTCCTCTGTCCTCGCCAGTCCCTGGGATGGGAGCGGGAGTTAGCACAAGACAAAGGAGGGAAACTCCATCTACACACAAACCACACCTCAGTTGAGTTCCCATCTCCTGGTACATGGAGATGGTGGCTGACCAACTGGGCTTTCCTAGGCATCTCCTCCCCAATGTGGGCTGATTCTCACAGGCTAGAAGCATGTCCTCTCCCCAGAATGGTCTGGGCCAGCCAGGACATGCCAGAAACATGGTGGTAGGCCCAATGTGAGACAGGCCTCCCAGGGCAGAGCTTGCTAGCCTGGACAGCATTCTCAAGGTCAAAGCATATTAGGTATATTAGGAGGCCAGAGCAGGTCAGGATCTGCCCAAGGCCACTTACCCTGGTCGAAGCCTCAAGACCTACTGGCAGGGCTAACGTAATCTAAGCCTAAATCACCACAGTCCCTAAAAAAGGACACCAGCTATGCGCTTGGAGCCAGGCAGGGTGGAAAGCAGCCAACATGGAGTGCTAGCTCTTGGGAAAGCTGGTTTCTCATCCAGGGAAATACAGGCTTTACATCCCAAAGTATTTCAGCACCAGCACTAAAAATACCCATGCTAAATCCCCTGTTCTCAGGCCCCTTCCAAGGACACACAAGTGTCCATCCTAGCACTGTGGTCTGTGGGGATGTGCCTGTGCCCTCTTTCCAGAGGAGGAACCCATGAGTGGAGCGCTGCCTGGGAGGCTGGTAAGAGCATGGATGGTGGGTATCACGAGAATAGGAAGGAGCGCTGTGAGAAACCTGAACCAGACTGCAATCCTTGAGTAGGACCAGGGCAAAGGGTGCTCAGCCCACAACCTCAAATACATTTGGGGAAATCCACTATCAGCCCTGGACCCCTAACGGCCCTGCTGGCTGAACTCCCAGCCACCTACCCTCAGACTGGGGCTCACATGGCACCCTGTGGCACCTTCCTAGGTGCCACATCTGGAAACTCCTAGGTTTTGGTGGTGCCTGGATGTAGAACATTCTCTAGACTGTACAAATGGCCACTCAACCTGCATTCCAGGCAAGTCTGATGGACCTGAACCTGGGAGGCAGAATCATATGGTCTGATCTTTGTCTCAGAGGCAGTAGTCTCTGGAATGGAGTGGTCCCAGTCTCTCTGGGTCATGGTCAATGAAGGAAACACAGTGGGCCTGTCCCAGCTGGCTCCATCCCTACCCACAGGGAGTAGGGAGCCCTGTGCATCTGACTGCACCAGACGACAATCCAGAAAGGGAGCGCAGGGACAGAAGGCAGGCCTGCAGGTGGACAGGCACACACAAGTGAGTATGAAGGTGGGACGCTGGTGGGTGGCAGCATGGCTGTGGGCAGCCAGAGGAAGCCAGAGGGGCTGGGACAGCGGGGGAAGCCACCTGCAATCCTCAATCTCGACAGCAAGTCAGTCTATCCATACGAACAGTCACTCAACCAGGATCACCATCTACATAAACTACATGTTCTGAGAGGGGCTCCTGCAGTTGGGACATGAGGTAGTCTCTGGTGGCTGCCATTCCTGGAACAGAGGTGGGCTAGAGGCTAGAACCTCTAAGGCCACCCACCCTTCTACGAAGGGCCCTGCTCACCTGTGGAGTTCTCAGGACGCAGGCTCTTCTTGGCGACTTCAGCCAATGCCCCAAAGCCCAGACCTACTGCCAGACCTGGAAGGATTAGAAAGCAGATGCTTAGAGGCTGTGGCCTCCAGGCCTGGTCAGCAGCAGGCAGACGCTACAGTGTGCCAGGCCTTGCTGGTACTCCAGCACTGTGCAAAGGGAGTAAGTAAGGAGAGTACACACTGGAGGTTTGAAGACAACACTTAGCTCTGGACAAGTGCTTCTGTGAGTCTGCCCATCTCTTCCCCCATCACCTCTGACAGCTGCACACGCATGGGAACACAGACTCCATATCGAGAGGGACCAGCACAAAAAGGAAGATGGATTTGGCATGGTCTCTGGGCCACTTCCTGGCAACACTACCATAGAAGATGACCACTTTAAGTCTGCAAGAGGGGCCAGCAATCTTGATGTTCCTAAGCCTTCGCCGTAGCAATATAAAGCAGCTAGCAGTAAAAGGTAGAATGTTCCACAACAGCAAAAACATGGGGTGTCCCAGCTGAAGCCCACAGAGCCGGAACAGACCCTACTCCCTCCATTCCCATGCTGGCAGCAATAACAATGAGAACAGTAGCCTTGGGCTCTCCCTCCCTCCTGACTGAGACCAGGCAGAGAGAGCCTAGGAGTCTGTCTCAGACCCGCACCTTTCTGGGAGTTCCCTTCTCAAAGGCTGTCCAAGACAGGCACACCACTCAGAGACAGGGTGAGTGAGGCCTGATGCTTTCCAGCCTTTCTACAATAATTCATTAAAGAAAAATACTGGGTTTACTGAAAAACTAATTTCATGAAAAAAAAAATTAAGCTGGGCATAGCCACACATGCCCGTTATCCCAGCATTTGGGAGGCAGAGGCAGAAGGTCGGCCACTGTTCAAGGCCATCTGGGAATACAAAAGCCTTTCCTCAAAAAAAAAAAGCCACAAATAGATAATTTTTTAAATGCATTTTAATTAAAAGATATTCTTTTACAGATTTCATAATATATCTTATCTACCACTAGGTGGCAGTGCACTCTCTACTTTGCCCGCTCTAACAGCTGCTCCTACCTCAGAGGTCACCAAGAGAACCAAAGGGTAAAGTGCTCACATTATCAGGTCAGGGCACCACAACAAAAACAATCAAGCCAGCGATGACAAAATAAGTCTCATGCCAACTGCATGCATGACTTTAGATTTTCTAGCAGCCCACTTAAAAAGGCAAGCAGAAACACAAAGAGTGAATTCTAATGTATTTAACCCAGTATGTGTAAAATAGACATCATTATCAAAATTAAAGGCATTTTCCATCTGTGGGTGTGTGCCTGGTCTTGAAATCCTGTAGGGAGGCACATGCACAGCACACAAACTGGAAGAAGTCACAGTTCCTGTAATGCCCAGAGACACAATTTAAGATAGCCCACCAGGATGGTGGTGGCGCACGCCTTTAACCCCAGCAGAGGCAGGTGGATCTCTGTGAGTTCCAGGCCAGCCTGGTGTACAAAGCCACAAAGAGAAACTCTGTCTGGAAAAACAAAAACAAACGAACAACAACAACAAAAATCCCACCAGGGACATGGTGCCCTGGGATAGAGGCATTAACATGGATGCCTGGTGGGGGCAGGCACCAGCGCCGTTCTCTTTAACACTCCTCCTACCCCTGCCACCCTGCAGGGCACTGGGCACTAGAGTCCTGATTAAACATTAACTCCCCACCACCTGTCTTCCTCACCCTACCCAGCACAATATCCGACTTAGACACCAACCTTCACCAATGTCCCTTTACATCTAGAGTCCTCCTGCTGAGAGCACACCCTGAGACGAGCCCACAGAAAAGGCAGATGATATCACAGGTCATCAGCTTGTCCAGGTGAACACGGGACCCTCCTAAACATACCCTGGCTGGACTTCACGCTGTTTCAGACTGTTCCTGGCTGTATCTGGGCTCTTGGCAAAGCACAAACTCTACAATGGGGAGAGCTGTTACTAAACAAACGCCTGAAGGAACATTCCAGGAAGGAGGCCTCAGACTCCTCAGTAATAGCACCAGGCCCAGGAGCTGCCGACTGAGGGACAGGCTCCCTGCAGCAGGCAAACCAGAAAGCAAAAACAAGCTCACCCAGCCAGCAATTGTGATCTTGGCCTCCTCAGTTCTACAAACTCAGAAAAAACTGCCCTCCAACCCAAGCACTGGGCCTGGTGTCGTGTGATTCTTGGAATTCCCTGCCCAGCTCAGCCTTCATCTAGAGCCAGGTGGCTCTGGGGAAACTAATTTCCTGCCACCTGTCAGGTACCCTGCTTCTGCACCCAAGGACCTCACACAGCACTGCCTCTCCTACTGTGACCCCTGCTCTAGAAGGCTTGTCTACATGTCACCAGGACCAGGAAACCCCTGTTGGCAGCCTTCCTCCTGGCCTGTAACAACAGCACACTGCAGGCTACAAAGTGCCCATCCTGAAAGGTGGTTTTGCCATCAAGGAAGGGAAGTGGCCGGGCCCGAGCTCTCGGCAAAGCAGAGGCCCGGTGGGCCTGTGTCCAGGTCTGGGGCCTCTTCTGGGTACTCGGGTCACCCGAGAAGCAGTCACTCCACTTCCTCCAGTCACCAGAGAAGAAAAAAGCAAAACAACTTTCAACAACAGAGTCCTTCAAGAGCAGGACAGTGACACACAGGACAGCAAGAGCAGTAAGCCACCACTCCTGATGCTGTTGGCTCTGCCTGCTGAAACTCCGGGGCCTGTTTACAAAGCAAGGCTGAAAGAGGCCTCTGCAGAAGCAGCCAGACAACACTGAGCTATCAGGCACCATACGCCACAGACCCGGTCCTGCTTTTACCCCCCCCCCTTTTTTTGTACTCAGGGTGAAAGCCAGTCTTGTGTGTACTAGGCAAGGTCTCTACCCACTGAACCACACCCTCAGCCCCAAACCCCACTTTAGTTAACACACATGCTCACTCACTTTGTTAAGAAAGTCCACACAGAGCAGACAGATGGACATGGGCACTGCCCTTTGCTTCTAGGTATTAACAGTCTCCTGGAAGAATACCTGGCATCCAAGAGCATTCTCAACCCCAGAGAAGTCATGGTCCTAGGACAGGAGCCACAGCCCAGGTACAAAAGGAAGAGGAACAAAAGGGAGGGAGGGGAGCACCCCGAGGTTTCTTCTCCCAGGGCCTCAGGACCTGGCCAGAGGCGGGGAAGACCTAACAGGCCCTCTGCTGGCTGGTTACATGGAGGACCTAGTTATAGGACAGGAAGCTCAGATGTCCCCATACAAGACAGAGGTCTGGGCTCAGCCCCTCCTCTATGAGTGCACAGAATAGCGGCTACCACGATGGGGCTGAATCCATGAGGGTCGATTATTCCCAGCCTGTTTCTGCCCAACACCAAGTGAAGAATTTGCTTTACCACATACTTCAACCACCATGATGAACTGCCTCACTCCAGGCCCAGAAACAGTCAAATGAGCAGAGCTGAGCCCTCTGAAACCTATTGTTTCTGTCATGTTTTGTCAACAGTAAAGAAAAAAAAGTAACCAATACAGATGGAACATAGAAGAAAGCGTATTTCCCAGAAAAGGGTAGACAGAGGTCTGGGCCTCCCGAGCAACTCACCACCAGCAGCACCATGAACCCATCATACCTGTTACATACCCAACCATCTGGCCAAGGCCAATAAGTAAAATAAGCCACCAAAACTGTTATTTTGTCATTTATATTGCCTGGAGAACCTACTGGGGACAGCTACACCTTAATAAATGGTACCACCAGAAACCCATGTCAGAGTATCCCACTGCAGATGGCCAGCATTCCAAACAGGGCCTCTGCAGATGAGCAATGGGGACACACCTTCAGTGTGTAAGGTCCTTGCAAAAGAACGCAGGTATGAGATTTCAAAGGCTGTTCACATGACAGTAAGGACAGATGAAGTCCCCAACACTAGCAAAGTGAAATGGCTTTAACTGACAGCAACAGAGGGCCACATTCTGTCAATATCATCACACTAACAGCTTCAGACCAACGGGACCTGGTAAACCTGTCCCCCAAATGGCTGGACCCAGGGTAAAAAGTCCTCTATCCAGGGAGCTGACAGGTCCAGTGAAGAGCTTGTACTCATGGCCAGTCTCCTGTCTGCAAAGGCTGCCCTGACAAAGGCCCACAAAGTAGTCCAGGTTACAGCTCATGGCAAGATTTGGCCACACACCAGGCCCAAGGATAAGCCAAGATGGGGATGGAATTCAGTACCAGGTCATCACCCATGGGAACACCCAGACCCTTTAACAGCTAGCTCCTGGGCTACATTCCACATGCTTCCCAATACTGGCACATGGCTTGATTCCCAAACCACTTCCACCTTAATGCACAGTGGCCTCCACTGTACCTCCACCCAACCAGGACAAACAGGGCAGGGCAGTAGGAGAGGGGCAGCACAGGGAACGTGGCCACCTCACCTCCAAAGTTGGCCAACCGCCCAATCCGGGTAACTGGCACCTTCCTCTCCCGAGCCCGCTCGCTGAGCTGGAGGGGAAAAACAAAAGAAACCTATGGAATTGACAAAACTGACAAATGAAACAAGGCAACCTGAGGCTCATGCTGCCTGTACCCCCATCTCCACTCCCACTGGCCGCAACTCCAGCAGGCAGCACTGTACCAAAAGGTTGCCGTATCCTTCAAGACACAGCATCCCAACGTAGAGGGGGGGGGATTAGGGGTCAATACCACCCAGGTCCAACTATGCTGCCTCTCAGACCCACCATCTGCTTATGTGGCTTGCTCTCAGGGCGAGCCTTGGCCTGCCGGGCCTTCTCAATGTCTTCAGCTGTGAGGCCCCCCACAGGGGACTGGTCCTGGTGGAAGAATCTTCGCTGGATGCCACTGGCCAAGAATAAGTCTCTCGTATTGACAAAGAGCCTCCCATTGACTCTGCCCATAGGGGAGGTGGCCTGTCCCGACAGCCCCGCTTCCCTGAAGGGTCCACTGGAAACGTAGGTAGGAGCTGGGCCCTCACTGTGGGCATGACCCAGGGAAGAAGACAGGGACTGGTCCGGGGAAGAGGTTGCAGAGAAGTCCAGGGAGGTTTCAGCTGCCTGTGGTGTTGAAAACTGAACCTCGGCTTCCAGATCTTCAAAGTTCTCGGTGGCATACAAATCTTCATGCTTATCTTGACCCTGTGGAGAATAAAGGAGAGTGTGAAGAGAAGGACTGGTCTGGAACTCCTGGTGAGGGTACTGCATGTGACTGCCAACCAGCCCCCTCTCCCCTCCGAAGGTAAGGCTATGCCTAAGACCCCTGTGGAGGTCCCCTTCACAACCTAGGAGGCATCAGATAGCTCTAGCCTGCTTCTTCCAGAACTCTACTGTGATCTTAGCTGGCAGCTATACACACCACCGAGCACCCAAGCAGGGCCAGGAAGATGTACACAACTCTAGCAACGAGTTCCTCGCCTATAAAGCAGGGCCAACACTGAAGCCTATGGGGCTTTAAGGAGAGAAACCAGTACAAAAGGCGAGGAAAGCTTGCAGAAGCTTAAGATGGAGACCACTGGGTTCTGCGACACCTCAAGGCAGCAGACCCCAACCCCCAACTTCCCCACCCCACTCCTCTGTCAGCCCTGGGTTGCAGCTAAGAGGTTTTTGCTACAGGTGGTCAGAGAGCCTGGCTGTTCTTGTGAATCTGAGACATGGAGAAAGGGGGCAGTGAGCACCCCATGTTTCCTTTGAAAGTTATAGGTTCAAACTTCAAACTCAGGGTGAATTCAGAGATTCACTCTGATTTTTTAACCTTGAATGAACTTGAACAAGTTCCAAACCCTTCTCAGTGACTTCTACATCTGAAAATAGGGCTCCCGCTGTCAGTCAGTGACAAAGTTACAGCCAAGGCCCCAGAAGCTGCTGGTGAAGGCTATGATTACATAGCACTGTGCCCTAAAGAGAGAGAGAGAGGCCTATGGCCAGGTTTCTGGTTCAAATGAAATCTGAGCAAATGCCATGTCCTACGTGCCATTCACATGTTACATGGCAACAGTGGGAGGCCTGGAGCTCCCTCACTCAGCTACTTGAGATGCTCTGAGGACTCAAGAACAAGCCTTGCTCTCCCATGGCAGCGGGTGGTAGACTAGGTGCCACTCTCACCTCACAAAAGGAAACTAAGACTGCTGACGTGACTAGGAAAGGCCAGAAGGCAACAGCAGAGCAGGGTCCAGAGCCAAGGGCCTGCTCTGCCATTCAAAGTCCCAGAGTAGAAGAAACAAGTCATACTGGGAGAAGTTCTGGGTTCTTCTCATATAGCCAGGCCTCATATGAAGAGTCTGGAGCAGAGGCCCCTCCTGTCCCATGGCTTCCAGGTTAAGCACTTGGTTTTATGTGACTGCTATTAAAGTAGCTGGGGAACCCTACAGGCAACAAAGGACCCTTGTGCCTGACAGGGCCCCAGCCTCGGTATGCACCTGATGGACAAATGTATGAATAAGTGCCTGGCAGCAAGGCACACAGGTTCCCAGAGCAATCGGATCCCTCAGACATCAGGTGACGAAAGGAACCCCAAACCCAAGTAGTAAGGAGTGAAGGGGGGCCTCCTCCATGGCAGTGGACTAATCCATCTTCTTTCTCTGGTGACTAAGGGAAGGTGACCCTGCCTGCTATAGACTCTAGCTAGACACATAAAGGAATGGTGGGGACAGGAGAAAGTCCTGGAGGAGTGTCAGGAGAGAGCTCGCACGCCAGTGCAGGAGGCCCGTCTAGCATGCAGCCTTCCTTTGGAGTGACCTAGGTCACTGGAGCAGGCTCACCTTCCAGGCTTTCCACAGGACAACCCCCCAGCAGGACTCCCACCACCTCAACACCAGGAGGACAGGAGCTGGGAGCAAACTAGGAAAGGACAAGGATCCCTACCCTATCGAGAGTCTTGCATCGACCTTAGCCTGAGAAATAGGAGTAAGCATAGTAAGCACACAGCCCTGCCATCAGCATTAAAGGACCTCAAGTATACAGGGTATGAAGACTTCTACAGAGCAAAGGCATCTGTAGGGTGAGGAACACTGTGTCACCCTAACATATGAGGGAAGGGCCACGAATCCTGGGACTGGGACAGCCTCATACCCAGAGAAGCATGAGACCTTTATCCAGAACCGTGAAGAGAAGTGCTTGTTTAAGCCTCCAAGTCTGTGGACTTCTGTTGTAACCACAGTACCCTCACAGAGGAACCTGATCTGCCCTAACATCACAGCAGGACAGGACAGTAAAGAGACAGGGCAATCTCTGTAAAACAAACATGTGCGTGTGCACACACACACACGCACGCACGCACGCACGCACGCACGCAGGCAGGCAGGCAGGCAGGCAGGCAGGCAGGCAGACAGACAGAGAGATGTGCTCACATACACACACCTACAGCTAGGTCTATCTGGACACTGCTTTAGCTTAAAAACACTCCTTAATACAAGATGCTGAGGTTGGACCTTGGCACAAAGGTAAACTTCATCCCAACCAGGAGGGAAAAGCTATCACTAGGGCTATGATAGCTGCCACCCTGGAAGGGAGAACCTTCAGCAAATAACAAATGGGTCTTGGCTGAGGCTCAGCAAGTCTTGCCTATAGGAGGAGTCTTCAAAGGCTGAAGTTGATCCAGGCTGATCTATACATGAGCCTCTCCGTGTACTGTATGTCTGAAACCTAACCTGTAGCATGCTAGTACATGGAAGGTGATTCCATCATGAGGATAGAGCCAGGAAACCAGAAAATGGGACCTTATCTGTAGGGAGAGATCCTAGATACCTGTGACCACGCCCAAACGGGCAGTACAGGTATCCAGGATCTCTCCCTACAATTCCCCTTTTAGTCTAAATAAAAGATTTTTGAAACAAAACTAAGTTGTGGCAAATATATAAAATGTCTTAAACAAATGTAAAGCATATCTACATAGAAGATGGTAAGGATATTATGTGCTGAACATCATAAATAGAAAGAAGACTTTACACAGTATGACGAATGGAGATGTACAAGTTATACGTAAGTCACGTCATGTGAGAATCTACAGCAATGTAAGTTGTCTATAGTTAATAATCACTAAGGTGAATCACAAGAAGATATGATAATCTACCTATATCTCATCCTAACCATATCTATCCCATCTAAACCCTAAACTCATCTGAAAGAGATGTCCAAGTCTGAACACCTCCTTCCATGGTCAGCGGTACAGGTATCCAGGATCTCTCCCTACACTCATCAGATGCCAAGTCTACTAAAGCCCTAATCTTGGACTTCCAGCCTCCAGAACTGTGACAAGTAAGCTAATGTTATTTAAACTTCCTAGTCTGGTACTCTAGTACAACAGCCAGATTCTCACGTAAGTGTCCTACCCTACCCTAAAATGACACAGGATGCACCAGCCACTGTGCTCTCCGGTGTCGTCTACAATAAGACAGGCTGTCAGATGTCTGTGTCCTGGTTCCTGGGTCTCATCAGGAGCTCCAAGTCTAGCTCTCTTCCTACTAGCACCCACAGCACTGCTGGAAGGGGCCTCTCACCTGCACCTTCCCAAAGACCATGCTGATCTGCTCCACAGCGGTAGACTGCAGGGCCCTGGCCGCCAAGATGAGCTCCCCACCAAGGCCCAAGTTCTGCAGATGGGTTTCCACAGCTGCCTGGGTCAGCTTGGCAAGACCTTTGGCCACCATGATGGCATCCCCCAACATAGCAGCCATCCTTCAGCGCTGGAAGAAAAGAGGCCAAATTAGGAAAAGGGATTACCACATCTCTCACACACTGACAGGTCCCCATCGGACTCTGAGCAAAAGGCAAAAGTTGGTAGTTTGCTTTTTCCACTCATCTTCCTTTTTGATTGAGGTGAACTGAAGAGAAGGAGAGGACCAGGGCCCGGGCACTTACCACCACCCATGCATTTCCTCACCTGGGCCTCACAAACACCCCTGAAAACCTCAGCACAATCGTCAAAGGGCTGTGGCAGAGCCAGGCCTCAGCATGAGTACCAACTCCCAGTCTTGTACTCTTTCCTCTGGACAAAAGGATGTGACGATGCAAAGGTGGCCCCTCCCGAGCAGTTCCCTGCAGAACCTAGGGGTCTACTCATGACAGTGGTGACTCTCCCCAGGCCTCAATCGCTGGGGGTACCTGCCTCTTTCAAATCACTGGTGCACAGCCTAAGATGAGAGGACCTCCTTGACCAGAGCTTCCACACTGCAATCCAGCACTGAGAACAACAGAAAGATGCACAAAGCCGGGAAAGCAACCACACAGCACTGGGGAGGCCTGCTGCCTGCCTCTGCTCTGTGCCTCCTTGCTCCCTCTTCTCTCTGCCGGCCAAAGTGGAAAGTGTTTCTTAATGTAGGTCAGGGCCAAAGATGCTGAGATGGAGCATCCAGTGTTAGTAGTAGGGCCTGGCCTAGTTGGTCATTAACTTCCCCTGAGGCATGGTTATGGACTCAGATAAGTCCTGTTGACATGATGGAAGCTAAAGAAAAACAACAACAACAACAACAGAAGAGTCAGAGATCCCACTGGCCTCTCCAAGGAGCACGATGACCAAGGCAGGCAGCAGAGCTGGGCAGGCCAGTGAGCAAAGGACATGGGGTTTGCTTTAAATCCCGGGGACAAGAAAGTCAGAACGCCCTAAGAGGAGTTCAGACAGGGGACTTCCATAAGGCATGAGCTGAGCAAGGACTCTGACATACAAACAGCAGCCATAGGGCACCTGTATTTCATCTTTTCATTACATTCATTGACAGAAGCACAGAGGGCAAGGGCACACAGGAGCACCGACAACTTCTGACCATGTCAGCCCCGAGTCACTCCAAGGGTTCCAGCAGGATCTGCTCAGCCCCAAGGCATTGGGGGTGGGGGGCTCCAACTTACTGCTCTCACTGAGAACCCAAGTTCAGTTCCCAGCATCCATAGCAAGTGGCATACAGCTGCCAGAAAGCCCAGTTCCAGGGAAGTGATGCCTCTGGCCTCTGCCAGCACCGTATCACATACATCCACATCCACACTCACGCGCGCACGCACGTGTACACACACACACACACACACACAGAGAGAGAGAGAGAGGGAGAGAGGGAGGGCGGGAGAGAGGGAAAAGGAGAGGGAGAGGGAGAGGGAGAGGGAGAGATACATAACTTTAAAAAACCTCCAAAGGAGAATTGTTGTTACAGTAACAGAAACACACTTAACAGGCTGGTGACTGGAGGGTGTGTTTATAAGGTGCCCTTGGGCATTGCTAGCAGTTGGCACACAGGGGGAAAGGGCATTTCTACACACCTCTTCTTCGTTTTGATTTATTTACTTTTATTTTATATGCATCGGTGTTTTGCCTGCAGGTACGTTTGTGTGAGTTACAGACAGTTGTTAGCTGCCATGTGGGTGCTGGGAATTGAACATAGGTCCTCTAGAAAAGCAGTCAATGCCCTTAACCACTGAGCCATCTCTCCAGCCCCTTCTACACACCTCTTAATATTTATAAATAATCCATGGTCCAGTCTGTCAGTAAGAAAGCAGAGTCATAGAAGGAACTAAGTAGCCAAAGTCACCCAGGACTCCACAGTGGCCTGTGGGGTAGGGGATGGGGTACCACTCAGCCCTGGTCTGCTCTGTGCCTCCTCCAACACCTGTCTCACTGACCTAGGACAGTGCACTGCTTGGTCACAAGTTACTCACCCTGCAGTCTAAGCCATGAGGTTATGGCTTAGAGAAAATGACCATACACTGCATCGCCTGGTTCCATGTCTCTGCTTGGCACTCCTCTGATTTTATGGCAATAAAATCACAACCAAAACCCACAAGCCACACAGCTAGGACTGGTAAGACCGCATTCAATTGGAGCTCAAACAGGCAGCTCCTAACTCAGTCACCACCACCCTTGACACACACTGACACATCTTGTTCACTACCCTGAAGTCTAGGGGTAAAAGCACCGGCAGGGCCCTGGAGAACCTGGAGAAGGTGTTGGATTTTGAAGGAGATCTGCTCCAGAAACACCCTCCTGCCTGTGGCCCAGGACCATCTGCTATACCTGAGGGATTCCAAAAATCAAGCCTTACTGTAGATCACCTTTAAATCATAGCGAGAAAACCAGGACACAAATCCCCACAGACCATGACCCCAGTAGTTACAAAACCTCTCCTTGCCTATTCCCTGACATTAAATCAGAAGAGCCACCTAGACCTACTTCATTCGGACTTTGATTTTAGGCTTAACACTAATTCTGCCTGAAATCTCCATTTAAGTTACTATATCCACACACTAAACTTCCACAAGAACAAAGCTGGTGAGTGATTTGGGGCCATTCCAGCCTACCTGCCCCACTGCACTGACAAGAGTTTAACTTTTACAAATCATTTCAGGTCCTGCACACTGCCACAAGGTAGCTGGGGGGACCATCAGAAACCAGCTCTGACTACCCTGAATATGAGTCCACTGCAAGATGAAGTTACACGTTCTTACAAGGATGCAAAAAAAAAAAAAAAACAACAACAACAAAAACCCTACTCATAAGAGAGAAATGAACCGAAAAGGTTAGTTCCTGCATTGGGGACTATGAATAACAATTACCTTTTTTTAGCACGTTCCAAACCTTTTTAATTCACATCTCCTACTTTCAAAATTGCAAATAAGCCATCTTTAAAGTGTGTAAACTAGAGACTGGAGATGCTTCAGCAGTTAAAGAGCTCTTGCTGCTGCTCTTCCAGAGGACCTGAGTTCACTTCCCTGCACCCATGTCAGACAGCTTCCCGACCTCCTGTAACTCTAGCTCCAGGAATTCCACACCTTCCTCTGGCCTCAGTGGACACCTGCATGCATGTAGTATAGACACATACAATCACACATGCACGCATGCATGCATACATACACACACACACACACACACACACACACACACACACACACACACACACACACAAATAAAAGTAAAATACATCTTTTAAAGATGCTAAGTAAATTAAAGGGCTGAAAAGCTGTCTCAGCAGTTTGAGCAAGTGCTGTTCTTCCAGAGGACCAGAGTTCAGTTCCCAACACCCATGAGGGGCAGGGGTAGTTCACACTACCTGTCTGTAACTCAAGCTCCAAAGGATTTGACATCCTCTCTAACCTTGACCAGCACCACACATACACACACATACTCACTCAGACACACACACACATAAACAAAAGAAAATGCTTAATTAAAAAATAAGTTAAGAATAATGAGCCTCAACAGTGTCATATGAAATTTCAAAATGGTGCCAATTCCTGCCCTGCACACTGTACCCCAGAGTCATCTGAATGGGAAGAAGGTCCCTTACAGATTTCTGGGCACTGTGTGGTAGATCCTCTTCTCAAATCAGCAGTTATTACTAAAAAGCACAGCCTACTGTTTATGAGCATGTAGATTTCAAAACCACTGTGGCTGGACCGTGGCCACCCCCTTGGGTAAACATTATTTACCCATCGTGCAGGGGTTGTGCTGGGCCTCCCCCACGGTACAAAGTGAACCAACTGTTCACACCCTTATCAACACAGGCAGTTTTTTCTGTAAGGGAGCCCTGCCTCCAAGAATCAAAGCAGAGGCGAAAGAGCAAATGACTAGCAGAAGGAAGCAGTCTCTACAGCTCTTCTCCTTCTGGTTTTCCCGTCTGGAGCCTTAAAGACCCTGTCTCTAATTCAACACAGTCCCAAGGTGACCTATAATCAAACATGCCAGGCACTCAGCTAGGGGGCGTTCACATCATAATTTATAACAGTTTCATAAAAAACCCAGGAACTCTTTCCACACACAAGAACCATATCAGCACCACGATTTCATGTCCTGGTATCAAAGCACTCGTGGGGACTATCAGCCCCACGACCCTCCCTATGCTACACCAGCCCTGAAACAGCACCCTGCTGGTCTGGGGACCCTGTTCCTGAGTTATTGCTCTCCTCTGAGGGGAACAAAAGATCCCATAACCCCAAGCAGGAAAAGCTGTGTGACAGGATAGAAACTGACACGTGGAGAGCACACTAGGGAGGGACCATGCTAACGTCTTTCAGTCACTTCTCCTGTTGTACCTGGCTTGTCCTGCGGTCCCTGGGTCAATGTGTCCGAGCCATGTGCCCATAACACAACAGCAAGCAAGCACATCTAACACAGGCGCCAACACCGAGGAAGCACTGGAGTAAACACAAAGGAGGCACCTACTGAAGGGGAAAATAAGATCCTCAGAGCCTAGACATGGGCCCCAGTCCTGCCACCACCAACAGGGTGACTCAGTTTCTTCCCCACCCACCCCCCACAACCACTCTTTAAATTATTTACTAGGGATACCAATTCAGTTTCTTATATGCCTCTTCTGGCCCTAATGTGTTAAATTTCTAACAGGAAAGTAAATAAAGATAGTCTCAAAAAAGACAACTGCAATGAACGAAGCCTTCCACCTGGGACAGAGAGACTGAGAAGGCGGCATGGGTTAGCCCAGAAGCAAGTCTCCAAGCTCTGGGAAGTTTTCCTGCAGACTATCATATACCAAACTTCCTGAAAACCTTCCAGAGCTACCTCCTACAGTCAGGCTCCCAGATGAAGTTATCTGGGGCACTGGGGGCCTTCAAACTAAGTCTCCAGGACTAAGAAACAGGCCCAAGAGATGCAGAGCTGGCGGACGAAATACATAAAGACATACCAGCAGGAAAGTGACCAGCATTCTTTTTAAAGATGTGATGAACACAGTAAGCGATTCCAATAAGC